CTGGAATATGGTCTAGCAATTACAACCTTCAATTCACGGGAAATTCAATCTCTCGAAAATTGCCAAAACCAATGCATTCGTCAAATCTTCGGTGGGCGACCCTTCACCTCTACCAATGTAATGCTACATTTAACAAATTTACCAAACATGAAGGATCGTATTTCCATACTTTAGGCACAATTTCTTTTCAGAACCTCCTTCCTACCCGACGATGCATTATTAACAAAATTGCTACCATACATACAATCACAGCTTATCTCGAAGTGGTCCCAGCTATCTAAATCACCTCTATGGACATCATTCAGCAATGAATATCTCGAAACTATGTCCCATGGTAATTTTATTAGAAAACGAAGACAGTTTTTGTTTGACAACCACCGTTCGAAGCTCCAAGAAAAACATTCTAAACTTCTGTCCCACTGCCGTAATGATCTAATTGTCGACCCTATTCTTCGGATACCAATGACAAGAAGTGAACGATCTCGTTGCGTACGATGGCGACTTGGTTGGTTACCTCTTGGTAAACCCCAAGCCTGTCCCTTTCATCCAAATGAACTTTTTTCACGACAGCATAGTTTTTCTTGTTTAGATATGCACAACCGCCTTCAGATGCCCAAATCTATTGACGATCCACTTTCCTATCTTTTGAACCTCTTACCACCAACATTCCTTACCAAGAAAGCGAGAAAATCAACCGATGCCTGGCTCATTCGTTGGCCTTCTATATGTGCAATATTACTCGAAATGGACTACTTAACTCACCCTCAGTTTCCTGAAGCTTCAAACCATCTTGGTGAACCCTTTATCAAACGTCTTCGTTATATTCAGCAAAAATTTTCAGATAGTTAATTATCATCCCTAATACGTAATACTTTCGCATTTTCCCTTTAATCCCAAAAGGGTTTTTCATTCCTTCTCACTGCGATCTGACCCGGGCAGTACAGCATGAGGATGCTATGTGCTCATCGGTCATTAAAAATTATTCTTTAATCGTATTATTGTTTGAGGAACAGTGTTAGGGCCTGATGTTTGAGTCAAGATGCCGTTCATTGTAAAAACTGCTTGTTTATCCTCATAAAAGAAACTGTTCACCACTTTGTAGATCTCAAAAAATCGAAAGAGTGAACAACTACTTCAAGAACTTGCGATGATAATTAGCCTTGCAATCCCTGACACTTTGGGCTGGCTTAAATCAAAACTCAAACCGACAATTACTTTAGCATAAATCGATGAATTGATATAACTTAAACTGACAATCACTTCAGTGTAAATTGACAAATGCTTTTCAACAATCGACAATACTTTTTGCCAACTGACAATTGTTGCAACCTTTTTGACTTTATTTTTTCTGTAAAATTTGGTTGTGAATCAAAACGGTAAGATAAATAAGCTTAAGAGGGCAGTAGTCTAATTTGCTTTCCGTCTTTTAGCTCTGAATGCCATTCTTGTATAATCAGCTCGCTGTAGAGAATAGAGGCTTTATCCTCACAACAAAAAGATGTAAAATTAGATTTGAACGACGGTTTCTTCTGTGACGATGTGGTTACACCTAAACAAAGTATCAAGGATAGCAAAAAGGCAGAGAACTTGAGAGAAAGAGCATTGATTTGTTGGTTAACTCTTCTCTCGTATGAAGACTGTATTAAGTTTATTACTTCTGTTTCATATTAGCTTAACAAGCTTAAATTACAAACCAAAGCAACTAATATTACTGATCGAGTAGCTATACATACCAGCTTGAAAGCAGCTAATGTACCAAACAATGAACAAGATAGCACCTCTTTTACTGAGTATCTCTCTACTATTGTATCCTTGGTCGTATTTTTTGCGTATTAAAATTTTATTTCTTTTGTGTAATTCCTACCTACATTTTAAGACTTTTCTGGTTCTTTCAAGGTAGCTGTTGTTAAAAAAAAAATACTTGGTGTTGTACATTTTACATACAATGGATTTTCAAGCATACACTGCAGCCAACAACAACAAAAAAGGATTGGCATGCATACATGAATATACACAAACGCGCGTGAGAGAGAGAGAAAGACAAAGGCTGTAATGTATCGCATAGATTAACAAGTAGTTTTAATGATTAAAATTATTATTAAGAAAGCAAAAAGAAGAGGATTAGAAGATCATGTAAACAATAGCAGCACCGATAAGAGCAAAAGCAGTATTTCCGATGTCTAAAGCAGAAGAACCAGAAGCTGCTTTTGTAGGGGTTGCAGGTGCAATTGAAGAGGAGGCAGGAATACTGCTGCTGGCAACAATGTTTGTAGAAGTGGGAGCTGCAGAGCTAGACCATGGAGTGACAGATCTATTTGAACATTTAGGATATAAATATAATTTGATCATCATGCTACTTACACATTGGCACCAGGCATTGAACAAGCTTCTTGAACTATTCCTTCTTGTGTGCCTTTGCCTGAATCGTTGGGACAATTCACCCAGCAAGATAACTTTTGCTTATTTGTCTATAAAGTGCATGTAATCAGTTATGACTCCTTTTTTTTTTTTTTTTGATTCTTACAGTACACAAACAGGCATAATCTAAATAAGTTATTTAAAAGATCAAACCTCATCTTTTTTTATTTTATTTACCTTGAGGTTGGCATCTCTTGACATAATCGTCTTGGTTACTTAAGCACAAGTCAAAGCTATTGATATAAAGTAAGTCTTTGATTCCTACAAAAAGGGCCAATGTCTTACACGCTCTGAACAGCACAATTTGATGTTGTAGTCGATGTTGGTGTAATGGTTGTTGTGGTTGCAACAACAACAGAGGATGCAACATCAGAAGTAGCATTTTGTGCAGAGACAAGAGATAAAGCCATCAATCCGACAATAGCAAACTTCATTTTGTATTAAAAAAAAGAGATAGAGAGAAATGGAGAGAAAGATAGAGAAAAAAAAAACTTATTTTTTATATAGAAAAAGGAGGTGATACAGATTCAAAGGGGACAAGTCAATTATGAACCAATCAATCCTTCTTGAATACATGAGCCCGCTTTACTGTTGTATGTGTCACAGGATCATAATTTGGCCTTATTCTTCTTTCTCTTTGTTTCTTCTGTACAACAAATGTTACTTTGGAATTCTTTCTTTTTCGTTTCTATTTACCTATAAATTTCATAATACTTTCGAGCGAATCAGGGCTTTCCATTCGCCCCTTTAATGCCTTAATCTCCTCTACGTTGACTTGTTCGAGCATTTCGACATCAACGCCGCGTATCAATCGTTTGGTCGTTTTCACAGCATCTACAGAGAATTGTGCTGCCTCATTAGCAATTTCAAGGATCTTTTGTCGAAAGTTCTCAGTTTCAATCAGTCGACTCACGAATCCACAATCAACCATTTCTTTGGCTGTAAAAGTCCTACCTAAAAGCTGGATTGGGGTTATGATCAACTTGTTTATTTTGTACTACTTCACTTACGAGCATTTCATTGGCTCTAGATGAACCCATAATTCTAGTCAAGATTCAGCATTATTTTTTCCCATATCATAGCACGCACACACACACACGTGATTACCTTGGAAATAAGACGGAAGAACATCCTTCAGCACAGAAACCTATAATTAAAAAGAAAAGGGAAAGAGAGAGAAAGGTTTAAAAAGGGAGAGACTAGTTTACTTTTTATATAGGCTTACCAAGCTTCATAAAGGGTGTACCGAACGTAGCTTCAGGGGTTGAATAAACGACATCGCATAGGGCTAGGGTTGTTGTGCCAAAGCCAATACTTGGTCCTAGAATCATATTCAGTTTGGGACATCTATATTTATTAATATGTAAATACCATTCACTGCACCAATGAGGAGTTTAGGGAATCGAATCATCTCGGAAACAACGTTTCTAGGGTTGTTTTAAGTTAGCTGTATATACCCTCCTTTATCTCAAACAATCATTACTGTGTTGTAGCTCTTCTACGATCCAACTCTTCTTCATCTGCATCAGTCAAGGCCAACTCTTGTCCGGACGAATAATACTTGCCACGTCCAATCAAGACAGCCACCTTGACAGCGTCTTCCTTGGCTGCCCACTGTAATGCTGTCAACCAATCCTAGTCAAAGTTTATTATATAATTTTTGACATGTATTTCACGCATACTTTATAGGACTGAGGCGAAAGCGCGTTATAGCGTTTAGGTCTATTATGTGCAATTTCTGCAACACCCGTGTCAAACAAGGTGATCTCGATGGTTTCAAGTTTTGGTACGTCAATCATTTACGCGAAAAATAAAAAAGAAAGAAAAAAAGAAAGAAAGGGGGTGAAAGTTCTTCTTTTTCCTTTTTGTCTTGCTCCCTTACTCTCCTTTTCCTCCGCCATCTATGCGCTGACACGTGATAATGAGCCAAACAAATAAAGTTTTATTAAGCAGGAATGATTTAACGGTAGCGACGAAGAGAAAGAGTGTTGCGACGCTTCCAGGTGGCACGACGACCGGAACCCTTGGTGTTGTTGAATCTGTGTCCCTTTTGATGACCACGAGACTTCTTACCGATGGCAGTCAAGCCACGGGCTTCACGACGCTTGTGGACGGGGTTGACGATCCAGCTGATGCGAGGATCGTTACGGATAGCCTTGTGAGAGGGATCAACAAGGATGACTTCGTAGTACTTGTAGGTGGCATCTTGGTTGATCCAGTAAGAGTTAAGCACACGGAGGTTACGGCACTTGCGACCAACACGTTCCTCGGCGGTGGAACGGAGGGAACGTTGATACTTCAATTGGTTAACACCTTCGTTGACAGGCTTACCGTAAGTGGCGCCCTTGGGAACAGGTCTCTTACGGCCACCACGACGAACGCGAATACGGTAGATAACGTAACCTTGCTTGGCCTTGTAGCCCAAACGACGAGCCTTGTCAGGGCGAGAAGGACGAGAAGCACGGTGGATGACGTTCAATTGTCTAATGTGTCATTAGTCTTAAATCTATTCTCAATCTGTGTTCTCGTACCTGTATTCCCAACAACGAACACGGAGCAAGAAGCGGGAAACATCAGATTGCTTCTTTCTAGCGAGCTCTTCCAAATATTTGTAGGCACCCATGATATCTAATATGAAGTATCAGTTCCATCTGTTCTTTCTTGTTGTCAATTCATTCATCAATCATCGTTGATTTCTTTTATGTTGTCTGATGGTGATGGATTACCTTGGAATGGAGGGGAAAAAGGAAGGATGCTTATTTTGCAGCAACACTCTCAATTAGTGTGGCATCTCCCCCCAAAGCTGTTGCTGGTTACTGATGCTGTTGCATATGGGTCCAGTAGAACGCCCTTGTTCCAAAGGCATTGTATTCCGGGCCGGAATTGGTCGGAGAACGGATGTGTACCCAGGAAAAGCTTTTTTGAGGTACATCTTTGCCAAAACGATGTCGCAAGAAAAAAAATTAAAGTGTCGCACTTTTAAAAAAATCAGTGTCTCAGCGATGGCTGATATGCTCCCTACTACATGAATTAGATCAGCTACACCATAACAAATTAACCTCTACTAAACATCCTCATGGTCAAATGCTTCTTGTATGGTTAAAGCAATTCATTTAAACTTTCATCGATAACCCTACACTTTAATTTCTGTTTACATTTTTTACCCTTGTACCCATAAGGGGGTTTTTTCGCTACCATTCACTTCCAAACGGATTGAATGGATCCGGGCGGACGTTTATTTTATTATGTCGGATATATAGTTTTGTCACTGTGATCATATCTTGGTTTTTTTTGTTAATCAATCAAAGTCTCAATGACTTCAAGTAAATATTTTCAATTTGCTTATTTTCTTCACTCTTTTCTTCTCTTCATAAAAAAAATTATGGTTTTTATCAGTCGCAATCACACACTTTGCATTTATTATCAATTAAAGTTCAATGAAGAAAACAGTATTCAAGCTTTAGAAAAGTTTCAGGCAATAAGCGATGAACACGAAGTGTGCTATTTAACTGATTCCACAATTCCCGTATTTGTGTTGAAAGCGAGACTATATGGTAGTTCTTTTTTGTTCAAGGAATATTTCAATGAAGAAGTGCCAAAAGAAAACGTTTCAAATGAATCTGTAACAAAGCTTGACATAATCTTGGGGGTTCTGTCTACACTTTATTGAGATTGTTTGAATCAAACAAATTAAAAAATCTCAAAGGGGAATCGTGGTATTTGTCTCACCTCTGGCAATTCATTGATACGACTTTTGATAACAGCTGTGCAGAAATTATACTCAAGATGGTAGCTTATTTTGAGCGATTTTTCCACTACAAGTGGACTCTTCTTTGATCACGCTTCATGTTATTGTGAAAAGCAAATTTATTTAGAAAGGCACAATTTATCGTAAAATCGCCGTTGGCTTTCTTCTCAATCCATGAATTCTTTAATCTTTTCTTTACTGTTCCTATTTACAGCCTGAGACTGAGCAAGTCTTTCCTCGCTTCTTTCAGCAACCTTCATAAAAAATACATATGCTGAAAACTCGAAAGCAAATAAGTGACAAGTTTGTCACTCATTCAATTTCGATTGCTTTCTTTTGCGTATAGTATCGGTAACATCAGCATGACAAAAGAGAAATTGTTGATGTGGGGGTGCTAACCCGTTCTGGCATGATAGGCAACCTAGAAAGGTAGAGCATTACTTTAGTGTACGCTTTATCCAAACATCGTAAATCCTTTTATTACAAGTGTCCTGTATTTACTCAAGAGCACGTAGTTGAGCACTTATAAAGCGATTGACGATCAAACCACACTTAAGCTGTAAACAAATGATGCATGCATAGAGTCCAGTGAAGAGAACCAGAGAGGTATACTCCAATGAATGTAAGGACTGAATGTGCTATTCTGAAAATAATGCATTCCTAAAAGTCCTGAGGGCTCGTGCGACAATACTTTTTGAAAAACGGCATCTGATTGGTTATTGTGACAGCATTTATTCTTTGAAATGGGTCAGCGCGCCATGGTGCAACTTTACTTTCCTGTACATTTATGACTACAATAGAAGATTTACCCAGGGAAATCGTATCCTTAATTTGCAGTCTGCTTAAACAACCAGAAAAATATAACTGTGTATTTGTGAATAAAGAGTTTCATTCAGCCTCAATACCTGAATTATGGAGGGAGCCCACACTGCCTACGACCTATTCACTTCATCAATTGATCAAATGTTTAAATCACTCTAAACATCAAAGAGGTGATTACATACGAATGTTAAAACTAGATTACACAATCAGTATCCATGATGAGGAGCTGTTGAGTCTTTTACAACTGATACCCAACCTCGAAGTCCTTGAGATAAGACAAGCCGAGCAGCTGACGGACAAGAGCATAATACCCATCTCAAAGTACTGTAAGCAGCTTAGAACTCTGCTCATCGTCGGTTCGCCCATGTCATATCGATCAGCTCATTACCTTGGCAAATGCCAGCAGCTACAAAGGCTCACTCTGGCAGCCTGTCCCAATCTGACACCGATGACCTTATTGCCGTTTGCCGAATGTGCGATTGAGCATCTGGACCTCTCAGGCTGTAAGTGGTTGACAGCCAGCGACACAGCGATCGATCTTTGCTCATTCACACACTTGACTCATCTGACTCTTATCTGTTGCGATGCCATATCCTCCGATTTTCTTCATCATCTTACAGGCGCATTGCCTCAACTGCAGGATTTTTCCATCACAGGGAATGCCGTCATCGATGATGACGCCATCATACCATTCTTAAAGACACACGCCCGTATTCGTGGACTCTTTTTACTCGAATGTGCTATTACAGATAGCACCTTGGAGGTGATTGCCAGCTGTTTGCCTGATCTACATAACCTCGATATTTCCTTTTGCACCTCGCTCACACCCAATGGGATCCGTATCCTCGTCGATCGATGTCAGAATCTGAGGCTACTAGGGCTCAAAGAGTGCTCCATCGCTCGTGATGATTTACCTGAAATTCCATATAATGAAAATGAACCGTTCTTCAATACATTGACTTTTATCGAACTAGATTACATGCGTAATTATCTTCATGAAGGACGAACGTCACAAGATAGACGACTTCAAGATGATGAACAAGAACAAGATGAAAGCGTACGTGAAAGCTATGCATACATTCAGCGTTACTTGAACACGGAGCAAGTTCATTAGAAAGTAAATGTTTTGGTTACACTGGTCTCGTTCAATCCAATAAATTTGAATGTTTTTGTTTTCTTAACACTGTAATCCCCCCCTTTCCCTCATCCCAATGTCATGGCAACCTGAAAACAACAACTTGAACCAACTTTTGACTATTCTTCGAGATGCTATTAGTCCTAGTAACAAAGAACAAGCCATACTTCAACAGGTACTTTCCTTATACTTTATTATCTTCTTTTGGGCTTACAATATGTGTGACAGAGGCTATTACGATTTAACGAATACGCAGAATATAATTCATATCTAGTCTATATTCTTGTTAAAATGACACATGAAGATGGCTATACTCGAGCCATAGCCGGTTTAACTCTGAAAAACAACCTGCTTAATCATTTCAATTTGACGCCTCTTGTGACCTTGAACTATGTTAAACAAGTGAGCCTAGAGGCTCTGGACCATCCAGATCCAGACAGTACAGTCAGAAAAGCCATTGGCTCGGTTATTACGGCCATTGTTGTTCGAGGACAGGTCTTGAATTGGCCAGAGTCAATTCATACATTGATCAACAAGCTAGATAGTCCTGAACCCTTAGCTGTAGAGGTATTTTTCGTTCTATGTTTTTATCTTTAGCTTATCGTCTTGTTTTTATACATCTCAGATGGCGTTAGATACGCTTCAAAAAATATGTGAGGACAACATGATGGACATGAATGACGACATAAATGAGTCCATGCTGGACCAAATCATTTACAAATTGATCCCATTCAGTAGTCATCCGATTCCTCGATTCAGGGTACTGGCCATATCAGCCATCAGTTATTCTATTCCTCACAAGTCGCCTATACTATTAAAACACATGGATGACTTCTTACGGTCTCTTTTCTTTGCTGCCTCAGATGAAACAGTTCAAGTACGCCAAGAAGTCTGCCGATCCTTTATCATGTTGCTCGATAATTTCACGGATCATGTCCTTCCGCATTTAGATCAATTAATCGAGTACATGATTTACTGCAATCAATCAGAAAACAGCCAGATCGCACTAGAAGCATCCGAGTTTTGGAACCGGTTTGCTAATATCGAGCATTTGCACCATTACTTGATACCTTATTTGCCCAGAGCCATTCCTGTCATTCTCAAGTCACTTGAATATACTGAAGAGGATTTACTCGCTTTTGGTGACTATGATGAAAGCGACGAAGAGCAGACATTGCTACTTCCAAGATATCGTCGCAAGCATAGTGGTATTCATATACATAACGATGATGATGAAGAGGAAGATCTTGAAGATGACGATGAGGATGATATCGAAGATGATGGGCTCTTTTCTGTTTGGACATTGCGAAAGTATAGTGCGACTTCACTAGAAGCATTGACCATGGCTTTCAAGTCTCATGTTGTCACCGTGCTCTTGCCTCTTCTCGATCAATCCATGTTTCACAGCCAACAATGGAAAACGGTCGAGAGCGGCATCCTAGCCTTGGGAGCTGCAGCAGAAGGTAAAAAGAAAGAAAAGACTTAATCAATTTAACACACGCACAATTACAAAACAGGTGGCATGAACGACTTGACATCACATTTACCAGTACTGGTTCCTTTTCTTGTAACAAATTTATCGAGCTCAAATGTATATATTCGATATATCAGCTGCTGGACCATCAGTCGATTCTCTTCATGGCTTCTCTCACAATGCGATGACCAAGAATCCCGTTCTCGTTATTTCGAACCGGCGCTTCGAGAGCTTCTTCGCCGTATCCTTGATCGGAACATACGAGTACAAGAAGCTGCTTGCTCGGCATTCTCCATTTTGGAAGAACAGGCGACACCAAAAGAGCTTGTGCCTTACTTGCCTGTCATACTCAATCATTTGACGAGAGCCCTGAGATTGTATGGGAATAGAAACCTGAGATTATTGTATGATACGCTTGGTACCTTGGCAGAATCAGTCGGTTCCGCCCTGAATGATCCTCAATGTATATCTGTCTTGATGCCTCCGTTGATTTCTAAATGGAATAGTTTGGCAGATACAGACCATCATCTGTTTCCATTACTGGCTGTAAGTTTTTCTTTTTTTTCTTATAGATGAACAAGATAGATTCATTAACAATGTATATTTGAGACAGTGTTTGACAGACATTGCAACATCACTTGGAACAGGATTTTTACCTTTTACCGAACCTGTGTTTTCAAGATGCATTCACCTAGTTACAAACATACTCCAGACCGCCGTCTTGGATGGAGAAGATGAATTTGACGATGAATGGATCAGTACACCACTTGATCTCTTATCGGGGATTGTCCAAGGCTTAGGCAGTCAAGTTGAGCCATTTGTGAAAAACTCAACCTTATTACCATTACTGACCGTATGTTCTCATTATGTAGGTTGATGCATCGTAAGAGCTTATATATATAAAAGATATTCCCTCCTCTCTTTTATAAGAAACTGACATCTTCCAGTAGCACTCTAGATATGAAGTACTACAACCAACGTATGCTCTTATTGGTGACTTGGCCAAGGCTTGCTTTAGCTGTCTAGAACCATATCTGGAAAAGATGATGCCAGAGTTGTTAAGAGAAATAGGCAATGATGACTTGGAGTACATGTCGGTAAGAAACAATGCGATATGGGCAGTAGGTGAAATAGCAGTCCGTTGGCAAAAGATAAAAGATTATGTACCTGATATCCTTCCATTATGTATACCTCTTATTGGTCGCTCAACACATATTCAAGAGAATGCGATCAATACGATAGGCAGATTAGGTTTGGCGTCTCATCAGTTTCTTGCACAGTATCTTCCACTAATAGGTTATGTTTGGCTTCGCCAGTCAAAGAGCATAAAAGAAACCGAAGAAAAGGATACGGCATTTCAAGGGTTTTGTAAAGCCGTGGATATCTACCCTCAAGGATTAAGTCAGGAGGTAAGTAATATAAACAAAAGAAAAAGGCAACCAAACTCATACCAGTTTGCTGTACAATAGGCAATCTATATGCTTTTTGATATCATTCATCAATGGCAGCAACCATCAGATGATCTACAGGTGTTATTTAAGCGCATCACTGATGGTTACAATACTCTATATTTCAATAAATAATGTTTATCATTTTTGAAAGAAATTTCCCTTTCTAGAACTCTAAAGAATTGGCTCGATTTTTTTTTTTTGACTTGCGCAATCAATTCGTCATATATGTGTGTAGCAGTACAAGATGATCCTCACAAATTGATTTCTATGGAAATCAAAATATTTGGTTAACTCGAGCATTTTTCTATAAATATCTTAACTTCTTGTTGTCAAATTCTTGTAGATTACAAAAAGGAGACCATTGAGCTACGGCCAAGTTGAAAAGAACACAATGAAGGAGAACGTTTTCATTTTTTATTGGCGCAACAAGTTGTGATTTTCAAAGTACGCATGAAAAAGTAACCTAAGATTGTTTTACCGCAGACAGAAAGGAGAGGACAAGATTATTAATTCCCTTTTTTTTACTTCTTTTTTCTTTTATTAAAAAAAACACATTAAGGAATGGACAATTCTTTTGTCAAAACACCCGAAGAGGTGTGTTCCTTTTTCAATGTGGATAAAAGTCACGGCCTGACGAAAAGTCAAGTAGAGCAACTACGAGCAAAATATGGAAAGAACGGCAAGTAGATAATGTTATCATGTTTATTTGTTATTAATACAAGCTTTATAGAATTGCCTGAAGAAGAGCCTACGCCACTTTATAAGCTCATTATCGAACAGTTTAAGGATCAACTCGTACTGATTTTATTAGGAGCAGCCATTATCTCTTTTGTATTAGCCCTTTTTGAAAGTGAAGAAAGCACCTCAACAGCATTTGTAGAACCTATTGTCATTCTTATCATCTTAATTGCCAACGCGACAGTTGGTGTCTTACAAGAAACTAGTGCCGAAAAGGCCATTGACGCTTTACGTGAATACTCACCCGATGAAGCTAAGGTGCTTCGTGACGGCACGATTCGTAAAGTACGATCTGAAGAACTTGTGCCTGGTGACATTATTGACTTGAGTGTGGGAGATAAAGTACCTGCCGATGCTCGCATCTTATCTATCACAACTAGCGTCTTTCGTGTGGACCAAGCCTTGTTGACAGGTGAATCTGTCAGTGTTGAAAAACAAGTCGACCCTATTCATGATGAACATGCTGTCAATCAAGATCAGTGTAACATCGTTTTCTCTGGTACCACTTGTGTTTTAGGAAAAGCTAGAGCTATAGTCGTCAAAACCGGTGTTGCCACAGCCATTGGTGACATTCATACATCTATCTCTGCTCAAATCTCTGAAAAGACGCCCTTGAAACGCAAACTGGATGATTTTGGTGATATGTTGGCCAAGGTGATCTCTGTTATTTGTGTACTTGTCTGGCTTGTCAATATCCGTCACTTTAATGATTCCTCACACAAGGGCTGGTTAGATGGTGCTGTCTATTACTTCAAGATTGCTGTTGCTTTGGCAGTCGCTGCTATTCCCGAAGGATTAGCTGCTGTCATTACGGCTTGTTTGGCTCTCGGTACAAAAAAGATGGCCAAATGTGGTGCCATTGTTCGTAGCTTGCCTAGTGTAGAAACCTTGGGGTGCACAAGCGTTATTTGTTCAGATAAGACAGGTACCTTGACTACAAACCAAATGAGTGTCTCAAGAGTAGCCTTTGTTGGTGACTCTAATGGCCAATTGAACGAACTGGAAGTTGAAGGCACAAGCTTTGAACCTATTCCCAACGCTGTTAAGCCTGCTGTTCAAATGAGCCAAGGCTCTATTATTCATGATATCGCCCTTGTCTGTTCTCTTTGTAACGATTCACGTATAGCTTATGATGAATCATCTGATAGTTATGCAGCCGTTGGTGAGCCTACTGAAGCTGCTCTTCAAGTCCTTGTTGAAAAACTTGGCACGACTGATCCATCATACAACAGCCAATTGACCACTCTTTCTAAATCAAAGCGATCAACAGCCTGTAATGACTACTTTGCTCAAAAGATTCAACGTAAAGCTACACTGGAATTCACTCGTGACCGTAAGTCGATGTCTGTACTTACAGATGCCAATGCTTTGCTTGTCAAGGGTGCTCCCGAATCCATCCTTGATCGTTGTGCCTGGGTTCGCGTGTCAGAAACATCCCAACCTGTCCCTATTACGGCCGCTATTCGTGAATCTATCAACAAGAAGATTAAAGAGTATGGTCAAACAATGGCTCTTCGCTGTATGGCCCTTGCTAAGCTCGAAAACGTCAACCCCAATAACCTCAACCTGAAAGATCAGACCACATTTGCAAGCTATGAACAAAACATGGTTTTCCTAGGCCTCGTCGCCATGATGGATCCTCCTCGTCCAGAAGTTGCTGACTCTATTGAAAAGTGTAAGACAGCCGGTATTCGCGTCATTGTGATCACGGGTGACCACAAGAACACCGCCGAGGCAATCTGTCGACAGATCGGTGTCTTTGAACCTGATGAAGATTTAACAGGCAAAAGCTACACGGGCCGTGAGTTTGATATGCTTACACCTGCTCAAAAGCTAGAGGCTATAAAGGTTGCCAGTCTGTTCACACGTACTGAGCCTGCACATAAGCAAGAACTGGTTGATTTGTTAAAGACCAACGGTGAAATTGTGGCCATGACAGGCGATGGTGTCAATGATGCACCTGCCTTAAAGAAGGCTGATATTGGTGTTGCCATGGGTTCTGGAACTGATGTAGCCAAATTGGCAGCAGATATGGTTTTGGCCGATGACAACTTTGCTACGATTGAAAAGGCTGTGGAAGAAGGCAGAAGCATTTACAATAACACCAAGCAGTTCATTCGTTACTTGATTTCTTCTAATATTGGTGAAGTTGTATCCATCTTCTTAACCGTTCTTTTGGGATTGCCAGAGGCTCTCATTCCTGTTCAGTTGCTCTGGGTCAATTTGGTTACTGATGGTCTTCCCGCTACTGCCCTTGGATTTAACCCTCCTGATCACGACATTATGAGACGCCCTCCTCGTAGTTCCAAGGAACCTCTGGTCGGCGGCTGGCTATTTTTCAGATACATGGCTGTTGGTACCTATGTTGGTGTTGCCACCGTCTTTGGTTATGTTTGGTGGTTTATCTATTATTCAGGTGGACCTCAAATTTCTTACTACCAACTCTCTCACTTCCACAAGTGCTCAAGCTTATTCCCAGAGATCGGATGTGACATGTTTACTAATGAATACTCAATGAAGGCAACCACCATGAGTTTATCTGTATTGGTGGTGATTGAAATGTTTAATGCTATGAACAGGTATGTTTTTGTCCATGAAAAATGATTTATAACTGAAACATTTTGTATAGTTTGAGTGAAAATGAATCCTTGCTTACACTTCCCTTATGGAGCAACCCTTACTTGGTGTTATCGATCATATTGTCTATGGTATTACATTTCATGATCTTGTATGTTCCTTTCTTTACAAAGCTGTTTGTCATTGTACCATTAAACTTGGATGAATGGATCGCCGTCTTGTGGATATCAGCACCTGTCTTGCTGATAGATGAAGTGTTAAAGTTCATCACTCGCACCTGGATTGCCCCACCCACAGTTATTTCTCAAAAGAAGAAGAAAACTCAATAAACTAATAGATTATCTAAACTTAATAATAATTGATATTCCACATGACAACGTTATTAATATCTACAAGTGGCCCCTTTTTTTCGTCATGTTGTATTCTTTTTTTCCAAAATTGTTGTTTATTTATTGAACAATTTAAGCAATAGCCTTGAAGTAATCGGCAAGACGACCCTTTTGAGGAACGAACTTGACATAAGAGCCATCAGGCTTGATGAGACCCTTGGAGCGAGCTTCAACGTAGTCTTCACGATCAAGAGGAGTGAAACCCCACTTCTTGGAGATAATGATCTTTTGTTGACCAGGGAACTTGTACTTGCAACGTCTCAAGGCTTCAATGACAACAGCCTTGTTGGAATCCTTGGAACGAACAGAGAAGATGATTTGGCCAATGTTGACACGAGCAACCAAACCGTTGGGCTTACCGAAAGCACCACGCATACCAGTTTGCAAACGATCTGCACCAGCACAAGACAACATCTTGTTGATACGAGTGACGTGGTAAGGGTGGACACGGATACGCATGTGGAAGGAGTCCTTACCAGAGGTCTTGGACATGTACTTGTTGGCACAGATACGACCAGCTTCAAGAGCTTCAGCAGAGAGTTGTTCATATTCGTTGGAGACCAAGTGGATACAGAGAGGGAAATCGTCAACAGAAGCCTTCTTACGACCCAAATCGTAGATTCTCAACTTGGCGTCAGGAACACCACGACAGTATCTGGACTTGGGGTAAGGCTTGTTCTTACAGTAACGGTAGCAACGAGCGGGACGACGACCCATGGTTGATTCCTAAGGGTAATGTTAATTATACTGTCATCTTGTAGTCCACCTTTTTTTTGTATCCTCCTTCCATCCATTGTTCTTTTCATCATCTCATCATTCCCCCTCCCTCTGTAATCATCCATCCATTCTTTTTCCTATCTCCTCCTCTTTATAGTGTAGACACTCACCAAGTACAAAGTACAAAAAAAAGAGGAAGTTTTCCTTCATTACTGTCAGTGCGTTTTTTGTTTGCCCTTCCCATCTTCAATACCACTAGGGCAGGTGTCGGTGTTTCAAATATATATTATCTTCGAGGTCATAGCTTCCGGTCCGGAGCAAACAAAAGGACATCATACAGAGTTCAGCCGTTCCAACGCCAAAGGGCGAGTTTTCAAAAAATGTGCGGTTAATAAATTACTTGGTTAGACATGAAAATACAATAAAAAAATAAAAGTATACAATTGATCATCTTTTTCGCTCAGTCAGCACCGCAAATATGTGTTCCAATAATAACGAAAATCTTCCTATCGAACAATTAGCTGCTATGCAACAACAACAAATTCAACGCTTAGAGGAATTGTTAGTTTCTCACTTACCACCCTCTTCAACTTTGGGCCCACCTTTTGATGATCACATGGATGACAGCAACGGTGCAACCTCTCTCCACTCCATTGGTATTCATCCTACCTACAATTGGACACCCTCGTCCATCCTCTCTGAGGTTTTGTCTTTGGATAAGGCTATTTTTACTACACCAGCCCTCTCAGATGACCAACGTGTAAAAATCATTGAGCGATATCCGACCATGGAAAATGTTCAATATCAACCGCCGGATACAATTCCAGATGCTGCTCATCGTATGAAACCACCATAAACCAAACAAGGTATGTCTCTCAAACGCCTTCATTATTTGATCTCGGGTATCTTTCGTCCTCTTGACATACTCGGTCATGAAATCAGCTTGGACAATGAGAATGTTAACATTCAAAGATATTTAACCATTCTAGCCGACTGTCGCACCTTATTGCTCAATCTCTCCTCACAAGTCAACGATATACGTAATACTCTGGCTTTTCAAACAATCAATCCCACCTTCAAGTTGACAGCTGCTCCAACCAAAAGCTATACGATACCCCTTGCTGATTTTCAAGCAGCCCTTGTTCAGCAAACGACTTCCGCTCAAACACTATGCAATGCAAGCCGCTGCTTTGCTCGCCAATCTTCTGAACAAAACACCCAGCAATCTTTACAAGCCACTACATCCACTACTAATCATCCGCAGTTTTTTCGATTCGGTCCGTCCTCTTAGCAGGGCGGTTTCAACTACAGCAACAACCGCAACACCAACAGTCCTCACCACAAGTGTTGAGCTTAATAGGTTCATTCAAATATTGAAGTATCAAGCCCCACCTGTTCGACTGCATCGCCCAACCATTGAACTTAAACCAACGTTCAACTATATCTCTTCTCTCGATGGTCCTTCGATCTCGTTATCTCGTCTTCAAATGAAATTGGCATTTCTTCTAGGTGTCACTTGCTTCTTACGTCCTTCTGACCTCCACCGTATTCCGTTCAGCTCAACAAAGGTAACTAACACTGGTTCGTTATACTTTGAGGTCCATTGTCCTAAAGAGAAACGTAAACACCGAAGAATTATCAAGTCGGTTAAAGTAAAAGAACATTATCTTCGGCCACTTTGCCCGGTCACCACATATCAAACCTTCAACAATCGTCGCCGTTCTGACTCTCCTGATACACTGTTTCTGCACTCTTACACTCCACTCAAGCCACTCAGTGTTCGTACTATTCAACGTTGAATCGGCAAGCTCCTTAAGATATCCACAACAGAATCGCGGGCTTCTCTTCAGTCCATCGCTTCGTCTCTCGCTCTTAAAGCAGGTATTCCTAAAGATGATAATGTCACCATGGGCAACTAGTTTTCCTCCGCTGTCTTTGAAAATCTTTATCGCCGTGAACATCTCTCCCAATTTGATTTCTCCAACACGCTGATTGATATTGACAATGCTACTGACGAAGATGACGACTAGTTCTTTGATGCTGAAGACAATATGACATGCGATTGAACCAAGTATTATTATTTAGACCATTTCTCTGGATCATCAAATCATATTTCTTATTTTGTATTTGAGTGTCTCCACCAATTCAAGTAGAATTTGTTTTGACACTTGAATTTGTTATTTTATTTTTACTCTCACAGGAGCAAGATGTCGTCCAATCAGAAATAAGTTTTCGCTGCATAGGAATAAAATGTCGCCTTAAGCAACAGGTACCATTTCTCCTATGGTAACCAATATAGTTCTCATAAATGGTCGATTGTCTTCTACATTCAATTATTAAATAAATAATTAAACGATACTAGAGTCATGCTTGCTATTATATGATGGCTTTACCAGGATATCAAGAATATCATGCAGGTTAATAGTATTTCATTTCTGTCCTTTATCAAAATTCCTATATTTAAATTATCAATAGTTACTATAGGCCAATCTAGTTACCTATAGACTTGAACAAAAATGATATCAAGGCAAAACGTTCTCGATAGACACCTTGCTTACAGAAGTAAACAAGTCAGCTCTTTTTTCATTTAGCTGCGTCGTTGCTAAGGGTAGCTACCAAGCCTACGGAGAACGTTCACGATAAAAGCCAAGTTCCATGCCTTACAAAGCCCTACGGCATGGTCTTGGCGAGCATAGAGCAATACAGCTGTACGAAACCGCGTCCGTAATATCATTTAAGTCCTACAATTTCACTTCATAACATTCTCGATAGACACCTTGCTTACAGAAGTAAACAAGTCAGCTCTTTTCTCATTTAGCTGCGTCGTTGCTAGGGTAGCTACCAAGCCTACGGAGAACGTTCACGATAAAAGCCAAGTTCCATGCCTTACAAAGCCCTACGGCATGGTCTTGGCGAGCATAGAGCGATACAGCTGTACGAAATCGTGTTTGTTCATGAAGGAAAAGGCGCCAATAAAACGAATAAAAAAAAAGAATACTCTCCTATAGCTATGATTACACGTAGCTCTAAAAGACAAAAAAAAAAAAAAAGAGGTTAATTAGTGTGTTTAGACTATTCAAATTTAGGATTTTTATAAAACTGCTTACTGTGGCATTTAATGTACAGCACATCCATCACTCTAACAAAGTAGTAAAAAAAGAAAACAGTTTCTTCAGCTTCAGAGGTAAGTGTAGATGATTCACCTTTATATTTCATTTTGAAATAGCACTAAGTATATAATCAGGAAGAAATAATATACCATTCTGTTCAATAGTTGAAGTATAATTAAAACATCTATTGTTGTTGGTTATTACTCTCAACTATATCAATTTTAAATTATGAGAATCTATTTACCCTCTTTCAATTTTCTTTTCATATTTCACTCTATTGTTTTTTATGTCTAAGGATCGTTTTTTTTTTCATTTGTTATTAAATCCTCATTTGAAAGGGTGAGGTAACTTGGAAAACTCAGTTTTAATTTTCGATGTGCCGTGACTTTACAATTGGTAACAAGCGTGACTAAAACATTGGCATAATTTGGCGTATCCACAACAGTATTCAAAATTTGTATCGTAGAAATACAATAAATATGGTGTTAACCGATGAATTAGAACAATACAAGATTCCTGTGGTTAAAGAAGGGTCCAAACATTTTTTTTTCACGAACAAGGCAAAAGACTGGGATTTCGAAGCATATTTTAAATCAACTCATAATATCAACAAATTCAAAAACATTGCCAAGGTTCGACTTGACTACGACTACGATCTCAATTGGATCACTCGGTTGGAAGAGGTGCCGATTGAGATCAAAGAATATGCTCGTGCTTTAATTAAGAAGAAGAAGGTAAAAAACATTACTATTAAGTGTCCGAATATGGAACTAACGACTATAACTTTAGCCCTAAAAAGCTGCTTTGAAAGCTAGGTTGGCCAAGCGTAACAAGAAACAAAAGTTAGCTGGACCAACAGTTGTTATCAGCGGCAATATGGAGGCACAATTAATAATAACAGTATCAACAATAGCGAAGTTCGTTTTACAAGTGATGTAAGTCTTTTTCTTTTTCTTTTCTTTGTTATATGGCATTTTAACCAAGTTTAACACTTTTTTTTTTTTTTTCAATATATACCAAAGTCGAGTGTTAAGGATAAAGTCCTGAAAAGAATATACCAAGAAGAAAAAGAAGGCTCTGATAAAGAGGAAGAAGAACAAAGGTTAATTAATAGTAGTGCAAGTGCTTGACCCAGTAGTTTTATATTTATATTTATAAATATATATATATATATTGGTTTAACATATTATTTTTTTAGAATGCAAGTATCTGGCTGGACTGGATTAACTACATGCGAAGTCATGCCGATACGTTTCACCCTTTCAGGTATATCTATAGAACGAAAATGAAATGATATTTAAACTAATGCTCCTTCTCTATTAGCCCAGAAGCTAATAATATTATAAGATCTGGTAATGGAATATCTCCAAACCCTAATCTAGATCGTGATATCTACAACAAGCATATGAAAAATCGAATTATCAAAGGCAATCAAATGCCCCAGACCTTCCATACATATATTGACAAATACGTTGATTCTGTAACTATATATTGTGTAACACATTGGCACAGGGTAATTTAAGAGCGTTTTATATTTAGGATGATTTGCTGCTGGCCAAAAAGGTGATCAAATCTCTTTCATTGTTTTTATTAACGGAGAAAGATAATCACACTGATACGCACGATATGGAATTCTTGGAATTGCTCCTCCAACAAACGTAAGTTGAGCATTCTTTTTTTTTTTGAATTTTATTTAAACCTATAAATTAACCAATGTTTATTTAGACATAAATCTTTTTCATCTCATATTGATTATAATACTACTGAGGATGCATTTAATCAGCTCTTTGTCTGGCCGTACCTTGATATCATTGGTAAGACTATCACGCTCCATAATTGTAAATCAGATTTTGTGCAAGGACAGCCCTATTTAAAGAGTATGAGCAGACAATTACAAGCTTGTAACCTGTATATTGATGATAAAAATCAGTATAAATCTGACGGTTTATTAAAGCTTTTCGGGTTGAAGGAATTAGAATTGTTGTTGGAGACCTCTGGTTGCCTTATAAACAAAGATAGAACTAAAACTAATTTCGACCACCATAAAGGTGTGTTTGGTACATTGGCGATGCTTAAATGTATCGCTGATGATTATGCTTTTGGATCAATCGTAAATTTTACAAAGGTTAAAGTATTTTTTCTGCATGCAGCAGGTAAAATTTTGACGATCTGTTAGCATATAGCTTCCCATTAATTTTTTTTTTTTTGCAAAAAAAATAAGACAGAGAATTACATTTCTGGAGTGTTTGCTATCAAAAAGAAGATGTTTTCGATCTTTGGAGAGAGTCGTCACTTCTTATCGAGCCAGACTTTCAAGACAAAGAAGATTTCGTACCTAATTTAATTCAATTCTGTTGGGAGGTTAAGGTAGCGTACGATCTTATATGGGATTACATATGTAAAAGCACTAACGGCATTGTCGAAATAGTGTAAAATAGAAGAGTCTGTACGAAATATTGTAGTTCTTAAAGAAGAACACGATAATATAAAACGAAATTACAGATACAGCTCTAAACGGCCTGTACTTCTAAGTGAAATAATTAACCCAATAATTCTCAAGCTGACGCAAGAAGAAGATAGCCTTGGAATGTCTAAGCTGGGACCTATTTACTCCCCTCCTCATCCTTAATATTATTTTTACTTACTGCTCTTTGTAGTTTTTATATGTTCTTCTATTTCTTTGTATATGTATCATATGATTATTAAAAATACTATTTCTATATGTTTAAACGCATCCAGAAACTTCTAGTATTTAAGTAAGACATGTTTATACCATATTTACACTTTCAATTAATTCAGAACTATGTGTAAAACATACATATAAGAAAATTGAAAAATTTACAGAGTGAAGAATCAGACCATAACTTTCATTGGAATAGATTATGCAAGAATGCTTTCTAGCTACCCTTAGCAACGACGCAGCTAAATGAAAAAAGAGCTGACTTGTTTACTTCTGTAAGCAAGGT